TCAAACACCTGCTAAGTTCGTGGCATAAACCAACAGGCATGTTCCTGTTTTTAGTATTTTACATCACTTTATAATGTAGCTGTTTATGTTTTTAATATAATTTTCAAATCATAAGTTTTTTATGATTGTTTACTGTTGTACTGATAAATATCTCCTGCAGGGTAAACTATATCTTGGCTGCAAGTATCAAGCTGTGAAATCCTTCATTTTCTACAACTGATAGTTGTTCATGAATCATGATGAAGTTTATCAACTTCTCTGTAAACATTACAGCTCCGTGGTTTCAGCTACGTCTTCTTCTTGTTCAATCCGAAGCAGGCAGCCTGATTTGTGTCAGCCGTGCTCAGTCTGTCCCTCCTCAGAGACGGACAGACTGAGCGGGGCAGATTGGACGCGGCTGGCCGGGGTCGAGTTGTCTGTTGTGGGTTGAGCAAAGAGCAGCGCCCCGCTGAAGCCACGGAGCTTGAATGTCCATCGTAAAACTAACTTTAACGTGGTTTAATGTGGCGCTATGGCTCTGCGGACATTGCACGTTGCTGTCTTGTTTTGTGGTGTTTAGTGTAAAATACTTCCACACAGCGACATGTTTAGATGAAAAGTTTGTTAGCTTTTAGCAACAGTGCTGCTAACTCAGTTGTAGCTGCTGCAAACTATGAACTGGATTTCCTGAATGTGAGGCGGGTCTTATTACTCTGGGCTCATGAGACATGCCTCCGTTCAGGAAATCCATTCCATAGTTTGAAGCCAACATCCATCATGGATCGGAAATATCGGCAGGTTGGATCGGAAAAATCCGATACGCAAATTATGCTGGTATCGGAGGCCGATACCAATACTAGATCGGATCGGCCCCATCCCTATTTGAAACATGATCCTGCAGCTCTCACCTGCTGCTCAATGTTTAACTGGACCTGGACTTGGTCTTCAGAGCAGCAACAATTCAATTCAATTCAATTCAGTTTATTTATATAGTGCCAAAATCACAACAAATTTGTCTCAGGACAATTTACAGGAACATTCACATAAAAGCCAATTAGTAAAGTTCTCTATCTAAGGAATCCAGCAGACAAGATGAATCTTGGCTTCGTTGCAGTCTACCATCCTGAGCAAGCAGAGTGGCAACAGTGGAAAGAAAAACTCCCTTTAACAGGAAGAAACCTCCAGCAGAACCAGCTCAGGACAAGCGGCCATCTGCTTTGACCGGCTGGTTGAGAGGACCGGAAGGAGAGACAGACGAACACAGAATGGTAGGTCCAGATATAGGTCCAGGTCCAGATGTAGGTCCAGGTGTACCTGAAAGACAAAAAAACGTGTTATGGATAGAAAAAATAATTACAAATACAAAACAGGTTGAGCAGAGTAAAGACAGTAGCAGAGTGAAAATTGTGGTCAGTTTGTCCTCCAGCAGTCTAAGCCTATAGCAGCATAACTAAGGGACAGCTCAGGAAACCCAAGCCAACCCTAACTATAGGATTTGGCAAAAAAGGAAAGTCTTAAGCTTAGTTTTAAAACTGGATAATGTGTCAGCCTCACAGACAGATTGGAAGTTGGTTCCACAAGAGAGGAGCCTGATAACTGAAAGATCTGCCTCCCACTCTGTTTTTGTAAATTCTAGGAACCACAAGTAAACCTGCAGTCTGAGAGGGTCCAGGGGAATGCGGCGTGCTCACAAGAGAAGAACCTGACAAGTTGTTTAATGACAAAATATATTTTGTTAGCAAAGAACAGAGTCCTAACATTTGTTAAACATCTGTTTTTATAACAAATTTTATAAAAACATCAAAATTGTGCTTTGACAATCGATAAAACTAAAAAATGTTGTCAACGTGAAAGAGGAAAGAGGGGCCAGTGTTGCTCTCGCTTTGAGTTTATTCTCTGTTGCATACGTGATGTGGGTGACAAGCGTCCAGAGCGTCATCAGCTGAGGAAGTGTCACATCGACACAGTTCAAGCATGGCTCCCCAAACGACAAGGCAGACAGATTTGTTCATAACTTTATTATTAGTGAGTCTGAGAGTTGCTGGATTTTAGCAAACAGTTGCCGAACGCAACCTGACACAATGAGAATGGTGCAAAAAAAAAAAAAAAAAAAAAAAACTAATCCCTGCTGCAAAATGTTCCCCGGGGTCACATGCGCACCCCCCCCCACCCCCCGGCATTGCTCCGGGCCCCCACAAGGGGGCGCGCCCCACTATTTGAGAAGGACTGGTATAGGCTGATGCATAAAATTCTTGTATTTTTTGACAGCGAACAGTAATGAACCAGAAGCAGACAGAAGTGAGCTACCAGAAAGCAAAACAAGATAATACTGTACTATTACAGATGCTAAGCTGCAGAAGAATGAAAACAACTCCTCAAAAGACAAATTGAACAGATTTTAGAACTACTGAGACATTAAGCACAAGAAAGCCATAATTTTAATAACTTTAATACACATGTGGTCTGTAGTAGAGCCTGACCAATATATCGGTAGGGCTGATAATTTTGGCCGATATAGACGCTTGTGGATTTATCGGTATAGGCCGATAATGATCTCATTATCAGCCGATATGAGCACTTCTAATTTCCACCCCTAAAATGCTGGAACTAGCCGTAACAGTACAATGTATCCAGCAGAGGGCGCATGAAGACTACTTTCAGGTCATGGTTGTTCATTTTGTTTCTCTTTGACATTCAGCACAGATGAAGCAGGGAACAATAATGTGTTGCACATTTTGCTGAACAGACCATGGTAAGTTTATTTTTAACTGATCTGTAAAGTAAAAAAAAAATCCACAATAATCAATTGTCTTCAATCCTCCAACCCACTTGTCATTAGCTATGTGCCTCTCAAGTTAGCAAGCTAACATTAGTGTGGCTATGCTGTCCTCACAACACGTGACTATGTGCAGCTAGACAGCAAACTAAATAAAAAGTCCCCAGATAAGACTTGCTTTCATGATTTTACTAAAGACATTTTATTTATGAATTTGTAAAAAGACTAAAGTCTCCCAAGGCACAAGGGCGTAGAGCACATTTAGCTTGTAAATGAGCTGTTTTATCCCTTATTTTCCAAAACTCTTGTTTCACAGAGATAAGACGTCAAAGTTTGTTCTGTGGTAAGAGCACTCACTACCTCACGCGCAGCACGTACAATATGAAGAAGATCAGATGTCTCACTCTGACAGGAATTCAAATCCAAAACATTGTAACATTTTTAGTATGAATTTACTTAAACTAATTATTAACTATGAACTTATTTACCACCTCATTTATGTAACTTACTCATGTGATGAACTTATTACTGTCTTTGAACAAAAGACTGCACAGGGGAACTAATTAAAGGTGGATCTGATTAGCTTAGCTTCATGGTTGCTAACACCTACACTAAATAAACAAGCCTTGCTCCACTCGCTGTTTTTTAGATTCTAGGAAGTGACCAAAGCTCAAATCCAAAAAAGTTCAATCTGGTCCTCTGGACATTCAAAAAAAACAAAAGCAAAACAAAGCAAAAAAATTCTAGAAACGTTTCGTCTCTCATCCAAGAGACTTCCTCAGTCTGAGGTGCTGTTTTCAGCTCAGTCTCTTAAATAGCACCTTCTTAGAGTGGATCAACCAGTTTTGCTGCTGACAACCAAAACCAGCTGATCACATGCTCAAGAAGGACCATCAGCCTAACAATGGATCATTAGCACCTGATGGCTGTTTACTATTCACAGAGGGCTGAGTGATACTAGCAATCACAGCATTGTAAGAGGGGGACAGTTGAACCCGGAGGCCTCCACCCCTGTTTAATGATGGACGGTTTCTTTTCACAAAGATGGCCTCCTTTACTCCTCTCTCAAACCATCGTTCCTCTCTGTCCAGGATGTGAACATCTTCATCC